AGCCGTGCCGGGGAGCGAGCAGAGCCCCGGGCCCAGACGTGTCATGCCGGGCACTGGAGCCGTGCCGGGGAGCGAGCAGAGCCCCAGGCCCAGACGTGTCATGCCGGGGAGCGAGCAGAGCCCCGGGCCCAGACGTGCCATGCCGGGCACCGGAGCCGTGCCAGGGAGCGAGCAGAACCCCAGACCCAGACGTGCCGTGCGGGGCGTTCCGGCAGTGGTTCCCTGCACGCAGCTCCACACCGCCCTTGCTGGAGCAAGGTCATAGAGGTACCAGCCGTGTGTTCAGTGCTGTGCCCGTTGGAGCCACGGCCCCGCCAGCGCCCCACCCTGCACCCGCCAGGCAGGGCTGCGGCCCCCAGGGACTCACCATTCCCACCGATCACCTGCAGCTCGGGGTATTTCTGCTTGATGTAATGGATCATGCCGATCTGATACACGGAATTGCCCTGGGAGGAGTCCTGGGGGCGGGGGGAGGACACCACAGTTAGAACAAGAAGGGAGCAGGAGAGACCGCTCCGGCCCCGCCCCCACACTGACCCCAGCCCCCGCCGTGACCACTAATAGGCCCAGCCGCCCCCAGGGCCGGGAAGGGCCCTAGGAAGGGAGATCCCCAAACCCCGCTCCGCCCAGGGGGATCCTGGCTCCTTCCCTGCCCACCAGCACACACCTGGCTGGCAGCTCTCCCCGCCAAGGCGGCACAGCCCATGCAGCGCAAGCCGGTATCCCGGTGGGCATGGGCCTGGAACGATGTGGAACCGACACAGCTCCTCAGGCTGGGAGACTGGCCCCACGTTGGAGATCCCCACGCACACCCTGCTCCAAGCACCAGCCGCCCTGCTCCGGGTGGCAAACGACCCCATCTGGGGCGGGGTGGGGGGTCATCTGACCCGGGCGGGGAGGTGCCAAGCATCTGGCTTGGCCGGGCAAGGGGCTCAGGGCCTTAACCCTCGCTGTGCCAGGGCTCAGGGAGGCTGCTGGGCCGGGGGGCAGCAGGGAGCCCCCCTAGGCCCGGTACCCACCAGCACCACCACGTCGACGCCGGCCTGCGTGAGCAGGTCGAGCCGGTACTTGTCGTCCTCGCGGGTGCCGATGGCCGCCCCGCACAGCAGCTGCTTGCGTGAGTCCTTGGAGGCCAGCGGGTAGTCGCGGTTCTTCTTCAGGTCCGTGCGGGCGATGATGGCCACTAGCTCGTCGCTGTCGTTCACGATGGGCAGTTTCCCTGGCGCGGGGAGGGCACGGCGGTGAGGGGGGCGCCCGGCAGAGCCCCACGGCCACAGCCGCACGTGCAGTGGGGCCGGCTCCACCGTGGGGCCGTGGCTGGTTACTTGCCTTTAACGCTGCCCCTGGCTAACAGCCCCACCACCCCCAGCTCAGCCCATCTGAGACCTGCACGGAGACAAGCCAGTGCCCACAGCCCAGCTCAGCCCTGGCAGCCCCCTCCTCGAACGTCAGCTGCTAGTGACGCCGCAACCTCGGCCACGCCGCCCTGCCCGCCACTCCGAGCACGTGGGGCTGCCCCACACGTCCCAGTCCACCTCCAGCACCCAGACTCTGCTCAGCAACAGCAGGGCCGGGCCAGGCCAGGCACTGCCACGGCGGCTCGCTCTACTCCAAGCCCCGGAGAACAACCCGCAGAGTCAGCAAGGAGAGGGAGCCCGGGTTAAAGAGCACGGGGGGGGTCCCACTTGGCCTTCTGCATGGGCACAGGGGGCACCAGCCCTGGGGCAGCAAAGAACCCGTAATGGGCTTGGAAGCGTCTCAGTCTCTCCCCTGCCATCCCCCTCGTCAGCTCACAGTGCCCAGGGCTGGGCTAGCAGGGGCTGCGGGCCAGGAATCAGGGGCGCCGGTGGAGCCGTGTCTCTCCCGTGCCCAGGGCAGGGCGGGCGGCGCGAGGCCCCTGGTACCTTTCTTGCTGCGCTGCAGGATCTCGTTGGCCTCCTTCAGGGTGACCCCGGCGGGCGCCACCACCAGGTCATTTCGCTTCGTCATCACCTGCGGGGCCACATGGCACATGGCAGCGCGACCAGATGGGCCCCGGGGCCATGCCCCTCCCCCAACAGCACCGCCCCC